GTCAGTGCAAACCCAGCAATGTCTGCCTTGTGCTTGCTCTTGCTTCAGGCACCTTTGCCTGGCTGAATAATTAACAGCAGCTCCTGCTGCTCTCTTGTAGGCTGGGGTTTATCATCAGTCTTGAAGGAAGTCCCGGTCTGTTACTGATCCTGGTTTACAATCATTTCTATCCACTTTATGACTTCAAACTGGAAACTGTATCAGTGTAGGGGTTGTATTGTCCAGCTGCTTCAGCCGCCTGGTACTGAGCAGCGAGGACACCCTGATCCATCTCCCCCCTCTGGAATCGCCAACAAATCTCTTCCAGACACCCAGGTATTCCCCCGCCTCCAGCCTGTGCTAGCAGACAGGAACCTTAACGCAAGCTCGAGTCCAAAGCAGCTCAAAATCTGCCTGTCCGCAGTGCCGAGGTGACTCTCGGCTGCCCTGGCACCGCTGCCCTGCCCGCTCTCTGCCCACCCGGGCTGACCATTCGCTTCGGGCGAGCGAGTCTCCAGCCGTGCGCTGGAGCAGGAGACAACCTGCTCCCATCACACATGCAAATGTCCTTCCTTAATGGAGGGGTGCTGCCAAGCACCTCCTCGTTTTCCCCCCGGCACGGAACTTCCAACACCCCCAGCCGGGGCGGTGCGAGCAGGACCCCACTCACCACACGGAGCCGTAGGCGCCGGAGCCCAGCGGGTGCAGGGATGTGTATCTCCTGGGCAGCTCCCAGAGCGTGTTGTTCACCTCCTGTCTGTAAAAGCCTCTTCTCCTTGCGATGTTCATCGCACGACGGGTGTGGGACAGCCACCCCCCCAGAGTAGTGGAGTACGCGAGGGCTTCTAGGGTGAGAGCGGGACAGGGAGGCTTCCTGCGCTGGTAAAAAAGGCTCTAGCGAGTTTCCTTCTCTGTTTCAGCTGTTGCGAGCGTGAAGGGACATGTCTTTGGGCCCTCCTCCCTCCGCCTCCACATTGGCAGAGGTGAGGCATCAGGTTTCCTGACACGCCTCGGTGTTGTACAGGTGCCTCTGGGCTCTGCTGCAGAGGGGGAACAGCCAGCCCCGCTCGGGCACGCCTCTGGCAGCCCCTGTCATCCACAGCTCCCGTTCTGCTGCTCCATCAGCCGAGAAATATCCTCACGGGGCTCGGACAGAGGCTTATGAAATCCCTCCTCCAAACAAGGGGATGAGTAAGGACTCGTCGAGCCGGGGAATCCGAGGGAGAAGCCACAGACAGCATCGCGTCAGACACGCAGGAGCATCCTCTCAAAGCCGATGGACAGCTCCAGGCTCGTGACAAAGGACACCACGGGGGCACATCGATGGCGATTTTCTCCCGAGCCCGGCTGCCCAGCAGCGTGGGGAGGTGCTGAAAGTAGGCTGAGGTTCTCCAAGTGACTGCTGCAAGGGTTGCAGGAGCAGCTGATGGGAACATCCCCGTGGTTTGTGCCCCAGGCTTTGCTGCGGTTTCATCTCCCGCAGCAGCTCTCAGCTCTTCCTGGCTCTTCTGGGACAAAACAAAGCCCACGTTCACCACCGTGTCTGTGACCAATCAGCCCAGCACCCCAGCCCACCAGGACCATTTCTGGTAAGCAGAGAGCATCTCAACATTTCTGTCCAGCATGAGGAGGCTCAGGTCGGGCTCCCACACAGGAGGTGCATCCTCCCCACTCCTCAGAGGAAGTGACTAAGCCGAGCCTTACCAAGCCAGCCTAGCTGCTTGCACAGTGTTCTACACCAGAAGCCCTCCACCCTGCCCTGAGCCTCTGCTCCTTCCATACAGGTCACCTGCAAAAAAGTGTCCCTACAGGAAAAGTACAATCAGGGGTGTGGGGAAAATTCACTGTGCCAGCTTTATGTGCAACCACTGCACTGGCCGTTATGGTTTTCAAACAGCCCCAGAGCCTGCTGTTCATGAACACAAACAGGGACAAGGCACCATGGCAGTATCTGTGTAATGAGCCCCAGCTGCAGCAGCAGCACAGCCTGGAAATAATCCAGGGCTTGGCTGGGTCTATAAATACACCTGTGAGCAAGAGGTGTCACAGCAAAAGCTCTTGGTCCTTAAGCAAACATGTAACTCCTGGGTTATTTGATGAACACCTTGCTCAGCTGTTGGTGCACATGCAGGCAATCAGCACCCAATTAGGGAGTCCTGAATAGCTGGGGCATGTCTGGGCTGTGCTGAGTTAACTCTGTGACCAAATCAAACAGGAAACTTTGGAATTGTGCAAAAACGGACAAGAAGCCCCATGGCAGCAGAGTCAGCCACCAGCCACCTTGTCCCCTCCCAGCCACCACACCCAGGATCCCCCACAGCACAGCAGAGAAATTCACACCATACTAAAACTCAACAATTCAGTGCAAGAGGTTTCCAAGTACCAGCAGTGCAGTAAATCTGAAAAATAGATTTTATTTTTAACCAGTGGTATTGTGACATCTTATCTGGCATAACCAATTACAGCAAAATTCATGGATAGAAACAAAATAGCAGATCTCTGCTTTTGGGTGCAGCATCATGCCCAGGCAGGCTGAGCACAGCACAGCACTGGCAGCAGGGAGTTTGTGCCCCAGGGGCTCCCTCAGAGGACAGACTCCAATGAACCATTCCCACTCACACACACAGACACACCCACACACACAACACCAATAGTTTTTAAAAATCTTTAGCAATATTTCTGCATGAAATCACACTGTAGCATCTACACAGAAAATGGCTGATAAAAATAAACTTGCTGTAGGTTTACAATAGTATATCTACATGTTTATTTGAATACCCAGACTGCTGGCCCAGCAGAAAAGGGGCATTTTTTTGTCTTGATTTTGTTGGGCTGTGGAGAGTTTTATCCTAGAGCACAACAGAGCTGCTCTCTTCATCTCAGCCCAGACCTTTATTGAACTTTTGGCCTGAAGAGATCCCTGGGAAGTAGCCTAGGAAGAATCAATGGCTTTGTCATCCACGTCCCATCCCTTTGTGCTGCCTCTTCAAACATGGGGCAAAAACACTACAAAAACACTCTCTGCCCCACAGGTAACAAGAATACAAAATACTGCAAAAGCCTTTCTCCTCACATACACGGGTACATTGCCCACACAGGATGCCTGCAACAAATTAAAGTCTAAAAATGTTTCCTCCAGAAGCCCTAAAATTGGGCTTCTGAGTTCCCCAGCTACAGATGGAGCACACAAACATGCTGAGAAACCTCCCTCCTGCCACTCTCTAACTCTGGGCACTTCACTCATGCAGAGTCCTAGAAAATACAAAATATTTGAACCACGTTTGTATTCAAACATACTCCCTTCTCATGTTTCCTTGGGCAGAGATCAACCTGCTAAGAAATAGCCAAGAAGCTCTTATGTGAGAGGATAAAAAAAACTTCTAGTAAATGTTAGTTTTATGTATATAAATATTTGTATTTATAGATATAGACAGTGAAAGGGTGATTGTGTGTTTATGCATGCTTATTTCTTTGCTTTGGGTTCCAATATTTCTAAAAAAAAATCTCTTCAGGAAATAACTTAAGTTCACAAGATACTATAGTCATTTCTTTAAAGAACATTTTTTACACTTGATCTCACAAGAAGCCTTTCCACCCAAGCTCTCCTCCTCTGCAGAGAGAAGGTCAGAACAAAGAAAAAGGTGCATGTTTCTCTGTTGTTGGACACAACATCCTTCCCTCGTTGAAGCCTCCAGGATGGCAGGTATTTCACAAGGAGCTGCAGCACAGGAGGAAGGGTGCTGTGATTTTATGGCACTGTCTGAGGAACTGCCCCCAGTGCCATCCCCAAAAAGTAAGGACAAAAATCAAGCAGCTCTACATGCACATACAGCTACAACATGCAAAAACACACCACCTTGTAGGGAACAGAATACACAAACATGTGGCTAGCAAGGATCTTCCCCAACCTCTGGCTCCTGGAAGATAATGCTGAGAAGCCTCAGAACAAGAGGAGGAGGAAAGTGAAAAACACAGGAATACCCAATCCAGGGGTTGAAGTTGTTGCCTCAAAGTTTCTTCCCAATTACATTGAGTTCATGCCTTGCTATCTGGGAGCCTTCACTCAAGAACAGTGGGTCAGATTTCCACCCCAGACTTCCTTTCCTCTCTCTCCCCATTTATTTAAGGCACAAACATATTTACAGTTTCAAACATCTTTTCATGTTCCAAGAATCAGGTGCTGGAAGGCCTCTACACTCTTCTGTACCAGGAAGATCTGGATGTAAATCAGACACCTGGCATTGAACAAGAACATCCCTCAACCCCACCTTCAGTCCTGAAGAAAACAGAGGACTCTCTAAACCTGTAAACCAACTTTCATTCTTTTTGAGGTTACTCAGTTGTAGGAGAATTGATAAATGGCAATGATTGCAACCAAACCTTTAACTGTCACCTTCCTCACCTCACCCCAGCAGTGCAGACTGGTGGTGCACTGTTACTCTGGAAGAACTAAGTGCAGTCAGAACAGGTCTCCAGAGGCTTGCCCCAGGCTGTACACAGAATACAAGAGCATGCAGCATGTTTACATAGACTCAGCTTCCTTCCCTCCCCCCTCCCTCCCCAGTTCAACACACACAAAACCCCTCCACTAAGGAGAATATTGTTGTGATGAGGCACTTGAACGATAATTGGAGAGTCCCTATGAAAAGGCCTTCCCTTCACAGTGAAGTGGGACGAACAGAAGAGAGCAGTTTCTCAGGACTCCATCTCCTCTTGGTCAAGCGGGGGTGGCACAAAGCTGATTACTTCATCATAAGTCAGGCCTGGGGGGAGAAGTGGGACAGAAACTTAGCAGCAGGACTAGGACAGCACTACCAGACGCACCTTCATGCAAGAAAGCCTGCAACCATCTCAAGTGATCTAACAGCATTTAAAACAAAAGTATTGTTTAATTAAGACAAGAAAAGGATGGTTACACCACTCTCAGAGACCAACACACACAATAAAAGATACTTCCAGAGCATTGAGGAGATGTAAGTTTGAAAACAAGGATATGTTTGTGTGCTCCTAGTAGTAGTTAGTTACCAGGGATTATGCTAAAGGTAGATTCACTTGGTGTAATGACAGAATCAACAGGATGCCCACATTTTTATAACTTTCTGCTGTGCCTCTAACCATGGCTTAGCTGAATCTCAGCTCATGGGATAGAGAGAAGACTGAGGGGAGACTCATCCAAGTCTGAGAGGGGCAGCTCCAATCTCTGCTCTCTATGAGCAGTGACAGCACCCAAGGGAGCAGCTGGAGCCCTGTCAGGAGAGTTGGGCTGGGTGTCAGGGAAAGCTTCCTACAGAGGGTGCTGGGCACTGCCCAGGTTCCCCAGGGAATGGGCACAGCCCCGAGGCTGCCAGAGCTCCAGGAGCATTTGGACAATGCTCTCAGGGATGCACAGGGTGAGATTCTGGGGTTGTACAGGACCCCTGTGTAGGGCCAGGAGTTGCACTCCATAATCCCTGTGGGTCCCTTCCAACTCAGGATATCCCATGATTTTACAACCACAAGAGAAGCTTACTGTCTCTCCCCTCCCCCAGACTCACTTTTCCATTCTTCAATCTCAAGTTCTCTGCTTTCAAAGGACTGGTCATAGGGGTCTGCCACGGGTTCATCGTCGGGGTCGTGGTACTGGGCGAAGTAGGCGTGGGCCAGCGCCTCGGCGGCCGTGATGCGTTTGTCCGTGTCCAGGACCAGCATCTTCTCCAGCAAGTCCACGGCTGCAAGAGCACCAGACAGAAAGGATTTCTCACATGAGCTGTGTGACTACTCTGAAATGTAAAGCTTCTAAAAGCCCAACATAGATGAGCAGTCTGTAGTTTCTCAGGACCCGCCATCATCCAGCATTTCCTTCCTCTTACACCCTTGGTCCACATGTAAACATAACCCTGCTCTGCACTACTCCTGCAACCAGAACAAAGCTTTGGGAATCTCCATGTCTCAGGACATGCTACCTTCAGTTTCAGGAAAATTTAATAAACAGGTCTTACCCAGGGGATTGGCACCAATAAACACGTTTTCAAAGTTCATTTTCGGCATGTAAGACAAAGACTGGATGTAGTTTCTTGCCTGTGGAAATAAATGCTCTGTTGAAGTATCAGACAATATCCAGCCAGCAAGACCAAGTACTTTTCAACCATCCTGAAGCACTGGTTATTATGGTCTGTCTCCTTGCTTACTCTGACACCTACTAAGCACATCAACATTACTCTGCCCCAACTAAGGCACTCAAGACAGTAGAGGAAGAGCTGATATTACTTGTGGTAAAGCAAGACTGGAAAGCAGAGATGTGCAGGAAGAGCTGACTCCCTGGTGTCCCAGCAAGGCTGGGTGCAGCCTGCTGTCCCTTGCTGAGCTGCACAACACAGAACACCATGCAAAACCAGTTCACAGCCAGGCTCTCCCGAGTCCTACGCATCTGTGGCAGAGCACGCACTGTCCAAATCTCACATCTTCATTTAGTACAAAGATCTTGCAGAAGAGCAGGTAGTTAATTGCCCACCCCATGCCACATGCAAGCTTTAATTCACAGAAGTGGTGAACACTCTGAGTGAAGCCCTGCCCTGCACGTCCCCTTCCTCTGCTCAGATCTCACCTCGTGGCTGGGCATCCTGTTAATGAGATATGCAGGGGGCGTTCCCGTCAGACGCATGATCTGCTGAAGCTGGTTAATATCTTAAGTGCCTCGTCAAGGGCTTTGTTAAAAACAGTGCAAAAACCATTTCAAACAGAAAACAGTCGCATACAAAAGCATCTCTTCTGCAAACCACAAGGCAAAAGCCACACAGGCAGGGTCCACTAATTTTTTCAGCTACCTGAAATGTTCAGCAATTACAAGAGTGAACACTTAAAGCAATGGAGAATCACTGCTCAGTTGGTAACTGCCAGTACAGAAAGTATTTCTGTCCAGTGCAATTAGCATCACACTCCAACAAGGTTGTGTTCACATTTCCCAGCAGTTTTAAGCCATCAGAGTAGACATTTCCTGTGGCTGAAGCTACTCCACAAAATTTTCCCTGAGCTGTGCAGCTATACACAGCTTCAGGAAAATGAACAAAATTAAAACAGAAACAAAAACTCGACCCTCTGCACTGGTTACCAGCTTTTTTTTCCCCTTTTGCTTCATAAAAAGTGCTTAAGTTTCTTGTGGTGCAAAGTGAAACTGGCTCACAACTAACATCTTTGAACAGCTCTGAGTGCCCTTTGATGTGGGCTGGGTGACAGGAAGCATTGAATGCAAAATTAGCAAAACATTAGCATTGTATAAAACAGAGTTAGCAGGTATCAGTGAACAGAGATAGTCAGAGTCAGTAAAGTAATGCAGCAGAAAACCCTTATTTGTTATAGTGACACGCAAAACCATCAAACACTTAAGAGTTTTGCTTCCCCCATACAATGGGTAAAGAGTAGAAACAGCATTTTACTGCCCTTTTTTTCATACAGACTTGCTTCAGACCCAGATAAGAGCAATTATTATTTTTATTGTGCAATAATGTTTAAAAAAAGACCCACTTCAACTTACACATGCAAATTAATCTTCTGCTTAATTTAGTCAACCTTCCATCTTATGTCTCTTGCTAATCCCCTGTACTTATAACATCAGAGAAGCCTTAAGGTCAGTTCACAGGGCAACCAAATCAATCTGGGTTATTCAGCTCTAATCTCTCCAAAGGTGGGACATCCCAGGGCTTTTTACTTTGGTGGCATATTGAGCAAGTTGACCAATTTATCCCAATTTGCACTGCACATCCCTTCAGCAGGGATGTTTTCATTTGTTTTATTCAAGGCTAATCTCACATTTGTATTTACAATTACCCTTACAAGAACATTAAGCTGCAGCACAACATAATCTTCTCACCACTTTCCACAGCTCTGATCCTCTGCTGCACCTCAGGAACAGCAGTGACCTCAGTGCTCACTGTGCATTCACCTGTTAGTCCCTGGCTCCGATTTATTCACTCCTCCTTCAGGAACAGGTAGAATTAAAGGCTGTTTCACACTGTCTTTGCACAAGTTTCCAGTTCAAGATTCCTGCAGCACAGCAAGTGGCTGAAAATGGAGGTCACCCTCCCAAAGTGACTGCAGGAAGCCTTTGTGCTGCTCCCTCGGTAAAAGGGCTCCATACAGCAACACCCCACACAGCACAAGTGAAGAGCAGACTCTGCTGTGTGCCCTGGAACAGCTGCTACAGAAAGGCACCTAAATGGCATTTTCTGCTACAAAAACAAAGATATGGCAGCAGTGCTTCAGAAATTAATCACACTACAGAAGGGACTGTGTGTGTTTAGAGGATAACACACCTGCTCCTATTTAGAAAGATCCCTGGGTGTGCAATCTGGAGAAATAATAACTGAGACAAGCCTCAAGCTCTTAGCTGTGAAAAATACTTCCCCAGTAACACCTGATGATACAATAAATCACAAAGCATAAACCCACAAACTGAGAGAAAAGTCACGAAGCAGTAAAATGAGAATATGGAAGAATAAAATCATAATAAAGATACACAAAGCATAAGAACTTAAAGCCATCCAAGAGCAAAGAATTACAAAGGAAGAAAAAAACCAAAAAATAAATCCCAACACATTCTACAGATAAGACTACAGGAGAACAACACACAAACTTGGGACTTCTGAAAGGGCAGATATTACAATCAAAGTGTAAACTCACAGACTCTGAGGAGATTTTCTTCAAAAGCTCAGGCCCTGGGGTTCCAACGAGTCTCAAAATGAGCTTCAACTGATCAATATCTAATGATGGACCATAAAGGAAAATGCTGGGAGAAATCAAAATGAAAAGCGCAACACATCACCCTATTAATGTTGAAAATTAATTCTTGCCAAGGCCTTGACTGAAAAGCTGTTTTAGGCAAACCATATTCATTCCTGTTGTTACAACTGAATATAACTGAGCTCTCTCTGTATCAGACAGATTGAACATCTTGTCTACAGATATCCCACATGCATGGAATTGGGCACTGCATCCTGAACTATTTTGGAACAGAAATCTTTAGCCCCACTGGCAAAGATGGGCTCCCTTGACGCTCCCTTCACCCCCTCAGGCCCCACACCAAGCTGCAGTTCACAGGATTAGGTTGCATTAGTGACAGCTAAGTAAAGCAGAAGGCTGGAAAGGGTAGGCACTTGTATTAAGAAGAAAGTCAAGGCTTTTTGTGAACTTTTTGTGAGCTCATTCAGCCACTTCTAAAGCTCGGGAGGTAAGGAAATGATTGGACCCTGCAGCATCACTTCATCATGGTCACACCCTGCCCACGGCCAGGGCAGCTGAGCTGCTGCAGCTGGCACAGGCTCCTGCCCTGGCACCTCCTGGGGACCACCAGGGCAGGGGGATCAAAGCACCTGAACATCCCTTCTGCCCTCCAGACCTGCTGGAGCAGCAGGGAGAAACAGAGCAGGGGCTCAGGTTTTACACATCTCTGTGGAAAGCTCTCGGGATGGAACACTGCAGATGGAAAGAATGTTCTACCAGGAGCAGAGCTCCCAGCAGGCCACGTGCCAGCCTGAGCTGTCCCCTTTAACAAGGCCTGGGTGACAAAACACACGACTGAGGGGGGAAAATCCATCAAAGACACTTTTATGGCTAAATCTCAAGACACTAAGAAGACACAGAGCATCCTTTTTAAAACCATCAATGCATAATCTCCCTTCTTCCCTGAATTATCCTCCACAGGGAATTCAGACTCTCCATAATGTTTATATTTGCTTTTAAAATTATACCAAAGTAGTTACACAAATTTTTTAGACAATCTTGTTTTCTGGGATCAATGCCTCCCTGATGGCTGAAGATACAGCTGCAGTTCCTACTTAGAGTATCTTTTGAGTACAACAAGAACTTCAAAAAACCTTAGAAAACAAAAAAACCCTGTATGAAGGAAATTACCAATGCTTTGCTAAAGCCACCATCTTTTGAGGTAAACTTTGGTCTAAAGTTTTATCTATCAAATTAATTAAGAGCTCTGCAATTAGCACTTTGTCAGAACAGCTGAATTATTTTTTCACTTGTAAAGTTACTTGTCAAACTTCTAGCTACTCAAGATCTAAAAGTAAACCCAGTATCTAGCTGGATTTAGCATAGCTGAATTGCAAACTCTGAAGAGTCAATGCTTAAAATGAGATCAAAGTATCCACTCCTTTAAGAGAATTAGCAAAGGGCACTCTACTAACCACAACTAGCCCATTTCAATTAGATTTTCTTCAGAGCTATTTAAAACAGTCTTTACTTCTTTCACTTATTCTTGTGCAAGCAGCAGTTGAAGTGCAAATTTTAGAGTGTTAATATGCCACAGTTCAGTTTAAATATTTAAGTTATTTAAAGGCATTTAAAAGCCTGTGCACTGGTGTGCCAACAATATTGCTGCCCTGTTTGCTAGTGGAAGATACTTCTCAGATAAATAAGAAAAAACACAGACTCTGGAACTGGCAGTGCCAAAACCCAACCCTGCTTCTGGTTTTAAGCCTGCCATCTATAACCTGCTGAACTGTAGCAATCTTTAACTACAGGGCCCATCACCTCCCAGAGAAATGAGCCACAAGCAATTAAAGACAGGAAAGAGATTCAGTAAATACAAAGCAGAAGAAAAACGCCACCACATGTGCATGGAGAAGGAAAGCACAGCATGCAAACCCCAAGTGCCATCTTCAAGGTACTCCCAAGGACTGATGAGGGATTCTAAAATTCAGTAAATAACCTGCTATCACCACCAACAGCAAATCTCACAAGATTGTAACAGCTTATTCAGGCAAAGCAAAATTCCAAGTTGTTTTAGCTGCCATCACAAGCAAGAATAAGGTGTATCAGAAGAATATGTAATTTCAGACTGGTTAGTTATCATGAAGTTTCATAATACTGAATAAAGACAGTAAAAAAAAAAAAAAACTCTCCAGAGTTTAAGGAAACACAAATCATGCAAAAATGCTAAACTAGTACAAGAAAAATCAAGATTTTCTTATTTTTACTTTATATGACTTTGTGCAAGCCAAGCATTCAAGCAAAGTCAACTTTCCTACTTATTTATATGAATATTCACATTCAGAGCTGTAAAAGTTTAATATATATGTTTAACAGAAACTGATCTTGGCATCAGACAGATACAACAATATCAACAAGAAAGCCTCAGGTAAGTCTCCCATGCACAGAATATGTTGAGTTGGAATGCCTGAAGGATTCTGATTTTTCATCAGCTCACTTTTTGGTTTCTGACTTCTTTCCCACAATCTTGATCCCCTTCTCCACCTACTGGCAGAGATTTTACCAATATTAGAGATCCATCTTTCCTCCAAATGCTTCTACCCTTAGATTACAATAGGAATAATTCAATTACCTTACATTCAGTTGTAAATATTAGAAGTACTTCAGCAATCCTGCAGAGCTAAGCCCAAATTAACCACAGGGTTTTTTCCTAAGAGTATCACAATTCTTTCTTTAAGTCAATGACAGCTGTATTTAGAATCTCTACAGATTCAGAAGTTTAAACTCAACATTCATTTATCAGAGGCACAACCATCACAGACAGCACTGAAGATCATAATTTCAGAGTCCAACTTTATTACTTACCTGATTAAATGAATTTACAGCTTACCTGCACTGAACAGGTGCATCCCCAGCTGTACAAAGAAATATGTGATGGACTGTAAATAACATCACAGCATTTCTGCCAAATCCTTGCTGAAAGGGACCAACACTTCAAACAAGAGAACCATCTGAACGGGGGGATGATCATCCTGAGAAGCCATTACATATCCTGTCACTCTAATTTTGGAAATTTAAGGCTACACGGTTGAGAAAATTTACATCTTGAGACCAAAAAGAAGATCTGTTTCAAATGTTCAGTTGTCAAACAGGAGCAGTTTCCAGCAACACAGAGTCACATTGCCTCCAACTGCACAGGGAATTTTCTAGAACTGCAGTAGATTTGGATATATCTCATCCTTGGCAACTGGACACAAGGCAAACATACCTTGAATTATTCATGTTAATATTAACTCCAAAGTCAGTAAGTCAGCAATTGTACAGTGACACTACAGGAGTTATAAGGGCAGATCTGTGGGTACAATGAAATTATTAAGAGCCCAGAACTACCCAACAGGATCTAAACCTGGAAAACCCCTAAAACTCTCTCCTAAAATAATGTACACATAAAGATTTCAAAAAACCTTTAAGACAGAAAGAAGCTGGAACTGACTGTTATCTTAATTCTCCTTGCTGTCTTTAGCTGTCAGCAAATCTGGAGTGAAAGCCATCCAATCCTTGGGTAAGGGTTCCATGCACTAACAAGATTCAGAACCATCCCCACTCCCCTTTTAGTTTTAATCTCATGATCAAAAAGCACAAACAAAAGGATTGAAAGAATTACAGTACTACAAAGTTTTGTCTAAGATAGGAAAGGATTTGGTCTGTTTTTCTTAAATCTAAGCAACTCAGAACAGAAAGAGCATTTAATTAAAAAGCATTACTGCCATTTGCAAATGAAATTGAGCATTTGAAGTAAATCATTACAAGCATCTGCTGGGAGACATAAATTAATGAAGTACCTTATTATGATAAAGCAAATAAATTAGATCCTAGAAGTAAACTTCATTTTGCATTGCAGATATCAGTGGCTTTAATTTACAGCTAAGAACAGAGTTCGTGAAAAAACTTCTCAGACTTGGAAGGTCACCATTTTGTTCAATTCATAAAAACCACAAAATAAATCAAAACCGTGCAGCATTTCTTACACATTGAAAATCCTATTACAAATATTTTACTTGCAAGAGTCAAGTTCTTTAAAATCTGAAGTGTCACTGTTGCTAGGGTTAAATAATGGTAACGGCTTAAAGGCTTTTGCTTTGTTTGAACGAACAATTCTTGGTATCTCAGTTTTTCTTAAAAGAAACAAAAAAAAATCTGTTCAAATCAACCTACACATGCTGAATCAACAGATAAAAATACACCAGCTTTTATTTAATTCAATTTCTGTCTCTGACAACAGCAAAATACAGCAGAGATGACTACACAGCACAGTACAACAAATTCAACAAATTTAGAGAGAAATGATGAGATGGAGTCAAGCAGAAAGAGAGGAGAGGATAAAGTTAAAGCACACTGAAAAGAGAGGTGACACTGTGAAAGCTGGAATGAAATCTTCTCCTCAGGAGAGAGTTTTGGAACCCAGATGCTTCTTGAAGGTAAATAAACAGAAGGCAGCAATTCCAACACCAGCTTTCTTTTCATCAAGTGTTACCATACTTGAATTAACTGACACAAATACTAACAAATTAACAGAAGTTATTAAAATGAACAAACTGTGGTTGAACTAATAAACTTTGGTACATGGTGGGCAGTGTAATTTTCTCTGGCAAATGAAAGCCAAATTTCTAGGCAATGAAAAATCTTGCCAGTAGCAAATTACACCCCAACCTTCTGTGGCTGAGCAAAAATTTTAAGTGCAACAATTTCCCAATTTCCATCAAGTCTCACTTCCAATTTCCTGGGGAAAATATGACCAAATTTCACAAAGTTCTCTCAAATTTGCCAAAGTGTCCTACCCAGTCCACTCTGATGAGGCAAAAAAAAATATTTTGGAAAGATCTTATTCAAGGTTGAATTTTCACATCAATATAAGCACACTGTGGAAGAAGATTCACAGTCAAGCATGGAAATGGAACCTAAACATTTCAGAGGAATTTTAATGAGAACCTTGGCACTAAAGAATCTGCAAACCCACTGCTTTCACAGCCAGGATACCTCCAGGAGAAAAGAAGAGAGGCCAGAAGGGAATCACATTTGCAAGAAACCTGAAGCATGAGAGGATTCTTGGCAGACATCCATGCAAGTATTAGCTAGAAACTCAACTAATAAATTTAAATAAACTTAAAGGAAAGTAACAAAGAGTATATAAATCTAATGAGGACAACAGAAAATAAAGAGGAACAGATGTGCAGCAAAATCAAGAACTCACCTCTTTGTACTGTGATTAAAAGAAGCTATTAATTTAAAAACAAACACACAAAAGTCCATAACTAAACCCAGAACTTATTTTCTTGTCAATTATGTGAAAATTAAGATCTAATTTCAATTTGAAAAAAAGAAATTACTTCTAAAGGATACGGTCTGTGCCAGGGAACAATGTTCTTCCAGTCAACAGCTCAGCCATAATGCATCCCACTGACCAAATATCAACTGAACAAAATAAAACAGAAAACAAAACATGATGCATAAAAATACAGCCTGAGCAGAACCATCCCATCCAACCTGGGCAAACAGCTCTGTCCTGAAACAGTCTCATGTCACTGATGCAACCTGAAATACATTGCAAGCTAACTGATACTGTTCTGTGTCATCTAAAAATTGTACAGATAACAGATTTCAAGATCAGGTAACTCTCCCTTCCAGACTATAACATGACCTGAACACCAAAGAGCTGGGGAGGAATCTAAACCAGCAACGAGGAAGAAATCTGTCCAAGAGGACTCTGAGGAATGGCTTTGCCTTACATAAATGCTACCCAAACAACCACCAACTATTTCACTGATGATACAAGACAAGCCTATACACATGCAAGAGGGGGAAAAAACCCCATAAGATACTGATATATGAAATTGGGGTGGCACATCATTTTCTTTGGTGCTCTCCTGTACAAGAACTATTCTCAGACTGTGATTTTCTTCTCTGCACCTGATCTGCAAGTATTCCTGGTGAGAAGTTACTGGAAACTGTGAGGAAGATAAATCTGTGAAGAAGGGGCTAACAGGAGAGGAAAGGATGGGAGATTTGTCCACTTTTCATCATTTCTTCACACTATAGTTCCAGACATTCTCCTCAACCAGACGCATTCCAGTCACTTATTTTAAAAACCACTCTGCTAGGAAAAGCAAGGGCTAAGTGCTGACAATATTTTGCTGATTGCAGTTTCAAAGGTTCATAATCCTGGTGAATGCTATCACAATGATTCTTAACTTCCAACTGACAGAGAGCGGTTCAAACACCAACTCCAAAGCATAATTATCAAGAGTGCCAACTTATGCAATCAAATGGAGGAGCACGTGCAAGGACAACCCCTTTTTTCCCCCCTCCTCACAATTCAGAAACTTGATAAAACACAACTCTTGTGCTGGCTAAAGGCATTACCTGTCTGGTTGTAGTGCATCCAGTTCAGCATGATCTCGGGAGCTCTGTACCACCGGGTGGCCACGTACCCGGTCATCTCATCATCCGTGTGCCGGGCCAGCCCGAAATCCAGGATCTGCAAACACAGAACAACAACCACTGCAGGCAGCAGTGCAAACCACCCAGCACAAACAGTCACTGAACTGGGCACTCGAGAGGGGAGAGCTGCAAAAACAGATTATGAAACCAAATTTCACAACCCGTGAGAAGACACTAGGCTAGAACAGCATAGGACTCAACATAATCAGAATTATGTCTGGGTATCTTGTCTCCAAAACAAGTAAACACAAACTAAAGCTGTTAACTCTGCACTTTCATGATGATTCACTAAAAACACGGGGTCAGATACAAAAACCACATCCTTACAACTCTACAGCTGGGAAGCATATTATTACTTTTCTATGGAAGTATTTTCAAAAGGAATTGTTTTGACACTTAAGATGCAAGGGATATTCGCATTACATTCACTCAAATCTCAGTCAAACAAATCAGATTTTATAACTACATTACCTTCAGCTCACAGTCTTCATTAACAGCTAGGTTACTGGGTTTTAAATCCTAAAAAATTAAACATCAGCATTAACAGTGGAGTATGTGTTGTTCCACAAGCCTGAAGTAGATAAAATTGTAAATGGAGATAAAAATAGAAATTCTAACTGAGTGCAAATACTAACTTTGGATAAATTATTTTATCAGAGTCAGAAATCTCTTCTGTGGTTCTCAGAAGTGTCACATATAACCAAAAATGGATAAAGGCAACACCAGTGCTGCATATTTGTATTTAAGAGATCTAATTAACAAAGGAAAATTATGGATCTTGACAACCACTCCCCCTGTTCAATCTTTTTACTACTTAACCAAAACAAAATCTCAGAAAATTTTCTCTGGTTTCTCTTGGTACTACATTGTAAAATTCATGCTTCATTTTTTGAAGATATGTTTCACTACAGGAAACAATCTTAGAATGAATACTCACCCTGTGTATTATGTCAGCTGAATGGATGTACTGTAAAATAAGATGACAAAATTTAAGTAACAGTCCAAGCAGCCACCTCCTCATCTCTTCCCTGCAAAATAGTGCCCTACCCCAGCCCACACAATTCAGATGCTCCAGTCTGCCTGCAGAAGGAACCAGCTGTGTGTCTGTGGGTTCCACCAGGTGGGTGTTCCAGTTTGCCTCTCCTTAGGAACACCCAGGAGTGCTGCCACACGAGTGGAACAACACAAGTAAACAAAACTGAGGAAATGGAAAATCCATTGCCAGATCAGAGGGCATCACAGTTCATCATTTTCTAGACTCTGCCCATAGGAGCACACAAAAATGATAGGTAACCTTACTGATGCAGAGCTCCAGAGAGGCAGAAGTGAAAGAAGAATAATAAAGTGTTATTCTACAATACTTTAGGGAAGTTACAGAAGCCGTATGCACACATCTGAATCTCTGAGGATGTAACATGCACCAGGAACTCCCACCCCCTATGGGGAGCTGTCCCCATTCAGGGGAGACAGGGACACTCACCTTCAGGCCTCGAAGGATCTGGTAAATGAGAAACTGCACGTGGTCATCAGTGAGCTTCTGGCATTTCACAATGTTGTTCAGGTCTGCTCCCATGAGATGTGTCACCAAGTACCTGTGAACAAAAGCAAACACGTGGGCTATGAAGCAATCTCTTGAATAGGATTAGGATAATTCCCTATAAATCTCCAGTCTCAGAGCTGACTGTCTCAAAGCACGTTGTTCAATGAAACATAGATTGTGACACTTTAAATAACAGCAAATTGAGTGATTCCAACAGCATTGGGCAGTAAACCACAGTAAGTGAACAATTCTGACAAGTCCAACAGCTTAGGATATACTATAACTTTGTGCTGGAATTCAGGATTCTTTGTGAGTGATAGCAGATGAATTAAAGAGACAAATATTTCTGTCATAACCTGGGAGGTGTAAGGAGATACAGAAAACCATTTTGTTGCAATCTTCAGAGAAGTTACCTACACATCATTGAATTCTTCTAGTGATTTGGCAGGGGTGAACACGTCCAATAAGCCAATCACCTAAAAAGAAAACAGTGAAAAGCTGTGAAATATATTTATAGCATACTACAGTTACTGAGATCCTTTGTGGCACTGAAGTATTTATTCCAGTAGATGTTTCATTTCCATCTGTTCAGTGTTGTGCTTTATGCAAGCTAACAAGGCCTCCTGGAACTTGAAAACCTGAGGCAGGCACATGTGAGAGCTCTGCAGCTCCATTTACTTGCTCAAATCATCATGAACTAGATATGTAAGATATTAAAAAACACCTTATGTCCAAGCCCCTCAAAGCACCATACCTTCCACATTTGCTGGTGTGTTCTGTACCCCATAAAACCAATTTTTTTTTTTTTAATAAAATTGTAGTCTAAATAGTCATGACAGTAGCACTAATATGCCTGCCTGAACCAGCTCTGATCATCTCTGCAGGATTTTTAAATCACAACCTACATAAATTTCCCACAGATAAATGAAGGGATGATGAACTGATAATATATATATATCTGTAAAAACGACTTAACTTCCTTTTATTAAAGATAGGCTCTTTGCAATGCCAATCAAAAATATTAATGAGTCTCAGACAGTTGTAGTCATAAAGTAAATTTCAATGCTTAACCTTATTAGCTTTATAAAGCTTTATTATTTGAAGAATGTCTCAGGCATGAGAAAAGGTCCAAAAAGAAACTCCTGAGTACTACTGGGATTTTTACAAGGCTATGTTATGACAGGACAAGGGGCAATGGCCTTCCACTGAAAAAGGGCAGATGTACATCAGATATTAGGAAGAAATTCTCCCCTGTGAGGGTGGGGAGGCCCTGGAATGGATTCCTAGAGAAGCTGTGGCTGTCCCATCCCTGGAAGTGTCCAATGCCAGGCTGGATGGGACTGGGAACAACCTGGTCCAGTGGAAGATATCCCTGCCATGGCAGGGGGTAGAACTCAATGATCTTAAGGACCCTTTGCTATTTGTATGGATATTAAGCAGGACCAGAAGTTACCATTGCTGAGACAATGGTATTACACAGGAAGAATTACTGACAGTAGCACACAAGTGCAACACAAGTTCCAGGGATGTGAGCCACGCTAAAAACATCAAGATGATTTATGGGCTACCCGATGCTGACTGCAGTGGTCAGAAACCACCACACAACCATTCCTGCCACAGCAGAAGTTCTGAACAGATCAACCAAGGAGAGCCTTACAATCAGACTATGCTTGCTTGGCTTTTTGTGCCAGGTAACTGTCCTGGCTTTGCTCAGCTCATGTCCAAAGAGTATTCCCCTTCTGCCAAGCCAGAGTTTGCTGGGACAAAAGAAATCAAGAGCCTTCCTTTCTTCTTGATGTCCTGACAACTCTAACCAAGAGCTGGTTATGAGAATTTTTGCTCCACTCCACACAGAATTTGTTCCAAACACTATGCAGTATAAATATTTTGGCATGTTATTGTCACGCACAGTGCAAAGTGCTCAGGCAATTGTTCTCCATACCAAGTGGAAGGTTTATAAAAAATAATTCAATGTTACATTTGCCACATTCATGTTTGTTTCCTTGTTGATGATTTAAGTAGATGGCTCATATAAACAGCCATCTAATTTCCACCCCTTCATCACCACCCCTTTTTTCCTCCCTATTTTACCCACAGGAATTTAATGAATGTCTGCTTCATAACTTTCTGACACAGGCAAGCCAAAAGAAAAAATTGTTAAAAACCCTCCAGAAGACACTAAAAAGAAACTTTGGAATTTTTCTTTATTTAAATAAATGCTTAACACTACAAAAACTGCAGTTTACTACAAGTAACCAAGAGAATGTGACACCACCTGTGTCCCAAATCCTTATGATCCTTGGTAAGTAGTCATTTTGAGATTATTCTAGAAAATACTATTTTTTTTCATACAAAATTTATCATTGTGGGGTTTTTTGGGGTTGGTTTTGTTACTCTGCATGATATTCTACAGCTCTAATACACTGGACTACTGCAAGCTTTGCATTCAGCATGAGGGAAAAACCATATGCACCAAGAAAAAAGCAATCCTGATGGATGCTCAGTCCAGCTTGAGGAAAGCATCTGACAGCCTCTGCTGCACTCACATTTTCGTGCTTCATGTGCTTGAGCAGCCGCAGCTCCCGGTAGGTTCTCTTGGCGTGGATGATGGACTGGAAGGGCCGGGAGAGCTTCTTCACTGCCACTCTCAAACCAGTTTTTGTGTCAAAGGCAGAACTGCAACACAGAGCAACCACATTAGCAAATTAACCCTTTATGAATGCCTTCAAATTCACACTTGTTCTAGACACTGAGTTACAGGCAACGCCATTCCTCCAATTCAAATTATTTCTAGGTATCCTGGTCTATAACCTGCATGCCACCCAAAATCTTCACAATTTTACACAATTATTGGTTTCTGGAGAAAATGTTTAAAAGATGCGTCTTGTCCACACAGTAAAGGGAATTCTTGTAGAAAGAGAAATGTTTATGACTTTGCTGTCTGAAGTGCTCTTAAACATAATTAAGCACTAAAACTCTGGAGAGAAGAGTACTTGTAAAAACTATCACTATTCCTAAACATACTTTCAAACACCACACTTGGTCACAAAATGCTATGCTCAATATACTATTTTTGTGGTTTAAATTCACACAAAAATCCAGGACTTGTGCCTAATAAAATCAGTTATGATTGTTGTTAATCATAACTGAAGCTGAAATTAACTTTCTTTGGTAAATCCTGTCCAATCACCAAGTTCTTGTAAAAAAGTGCATGTGAATGAATGATACGTAGCTGTACATTACCAAAACTTGTCTCTTTAGTGGAAACCTTGTACATACGAATAGTATTTTTTCTTAAGAGCCCATGAGGACTTATTTAATCCTACTCAGTAACAATATATATATATAGTACAGTAAAATTGTATTTTAAGTAATTTCTTATGCAACTTATAAAGGTCTGTCCAAAAGGAAGGAGGAGGAGAAAGAGAGGATATGAAATCAACACTTCACTCAAGGTAATCAATATGGGGAAAGTCTGGCATGGAAAGAGTCATATAAGGACAATACTGGTTGATTTTCCTGTCCTATTTATGGTTCAGGTAAACTCCTGATTCCATTTAAAAGTAAGTATGCACTAGTTCTTGATAAACATCAAGCAAAAAGGAATGCTACATATTCATAAAGATAAAGTGTGAAATATAAAGCTTAACTAACAAAGCTCAAAACCAATCACAAGAGCAGTCCTAGAATAAACCCACAATTGCATATGCAAACCACAACGCCCACCCCACCAAAGGAGCTATTTGAAATAAAGGCAGCTGTCATTTACTTTTAAAGCAACCACCAGGAATTAACCTGCAGAAAGACTGCTTAGCTCAAATTTGCCCAGTTTCCAAGGAATTTGGTAAGTGAAGTTCATGAGAAATAGAAAAGACAACAGCAGCACCCTCCTATGAGCAGTGACCCTTCCCCCAGCCCTGGCAGGGAATGGAAAAACCCTCTGTGCACAGTGGAAGAAGAACATCTCCCTTTCTATAAAGGGCATGCACAGAGTGGAAAGACCTCTCTGGAAAACACACAGGAGTACACCAGGTCACAGCAGCAGCAACCTGCCAGAGCTGAATTACTCCAGCTACATCACACTGGCTCAAAAAACACCCATTAGCAACTACTTCCACATGCAAGTTATCCTTTACACAAGGATAACTTTTTTACAAGGATAACTTGTGTGCCAGGCACACAAGAGGAGCCATCAAGCATTCACTTTTTAATGTTGATTTCAAATTCTCAAGTTTTCACACATCACTAGGGAAAAAAAAAAAAATCAATATTTAAGCAGCAATGCTTCGTGAAATTTAGAATTCAATTTTTTTCAGCCTTGGGTAAGAACCACCATCTTGCAACACACAAATATTCCTAGTTTGGCCGGAAAATACATGCCAGTGTTTTACTGATACATAAGGTGTTTTCTAGGACTTAGAGCAAAAATAAGAGTAGTCATCATCACTCAGCATGTGCTGTTGTAAATTAGTCATGGATCTTCACCAATTTCCAAACATTTCAGGTACAAAATGCAGCAAATACCAGTAACTCATCTTGAAAAGAAGGGGATCCCCTGCATCTCAAACCTCCACAGATCCAGAGTCAAATTTCTCCTTTGGTTTCCAAGATTTTGAGCTTTTAGAGCCACCAGACATAAGTTATTTCAGGATTCAGATGAAATTCAATTTCACGTTTGGTTTTAAATTACATTTTTGGGGTCATATCAAGTCACTGTGCTGTTTTAGTAGCTGTACAATCTCCAAGGGAAATGCAGTTAGCAGTACTGGTTAAACAGCACAATGCATAAGCTCAGGAAAGAAAATTGTGGATAACTGCACATTCACAATCTAGACTTAAAGTCAGAACACAAAAAGTCTGGTCATATTTGAGGCCTAAAGACTATTTCCCCACAGATAAATCACGCTGAGTAATTTTCTGCCAATACAGATAACTGGCTAAAGGTTCCTGCAGAGCTACAGAACAGCTGTCAGCTGGAGAATTTTACAGAACACTAAGCTGCCTTTCATCACAGACTTTAAAACAGCTGCATTACACCGATCACATTTCAGCTAAAGAAGCCCAATTAGGAAAAAATTGCATGATCCACAGTTTTAAAGCCCTTTTAAAACAAGATCAGCACAAATTTAGAATTTATCACACTTTTTTTTTAACCTCTTACATAGTACTGTGCTGTGGCAAACAAACTGCATCCACCTCACTCTAAGTGAGCTAAAATTACAATTCTGATCTAACCTGAATTGAATCCAGAACACAGGTGGTAGAAGAAAACAATTACTTTAGAGACCCAAGTAACAAGGTTACTTATGAGCACAACTTATTTAAATATTAAATAATCAGAATGTCAATTTTTGTGCAAAGACTAGTTTGCTAAATATAGCGGCTCATTGCTAGTGCCTCTGCAAATACCCAAGCTAGTTGAATCTCCTTAGTGCTACCTGGGAAGTTAATTTATGCACTCCTAATCAGACAGGAAAACACAGCACCTGGCAGTCTATTATTCACTGCAGTCCCTTCTGTACCTGCACTTTAGTCATCACCCTCCCAACACACTCTAACAATTGCAAACATTCTCCTGTGCTAGATTAGCTCCTGCTTCTAAGAAAGCTGCAATAAAAATCTCCCTATATAGGACAGATGTGCTCTCACTAATTTCCCTTCTTAAAATACCAAGTTCTCCTACAGTCCAAGCTCCTTGCCAGCCCTTTCAGAGCTCTGCTCACAGCTTTTCTGTGCCTGCCCTTCTCCTACTCAACTCTCCCCTCCCCACACATCTTCTGCCAATCCTTCCTGTGTGGCTGCTTCATCCCACTCAGTTTTACAGCTCTGTTCCTATCACTCCTCACAGATCTACCACACCTTGCTGGAGGAGCAGGCACCTGTCCCTCCAAGCACCCACAGGATTTGGAGGCACTTGCACGCTTTGATAAGGGATTAGGAAAAAAATCCACAGAGGAACTGTTTCCACAAATGTGGCATTTAGGGTTATTTCATTTCCTCTAGACCCTAATGTTTTAAAATTTCTTAAATCTATAGTGTTTCTCCAGAATTCTCTGTATCCAAGAAATTCAGACTCCGTGTTAGTACAACTGTGGGTTGAAATGGGAAGAAATCACAGGTTTTGGAGGGCTGTATCACCTGACAGTGTATTAAAAAAAAAAAAAAAAAAAAAAAAAAAAAAAAAAAAAAAAAAAAAAAAAACAATAACAAAAAAAAAAAAAAGATAAAAAAAGATCTTATGCAAGATTTTGAGGCATTTGCCTTTAATTAAGGCAATACAAATAGCTTGCAAAGCAAGTAAACCAAACCCCTTATATTACAAAGGCATCAATACAACAAAGAACAGCTGCAAAAATATAACAATTAAGTAAACTAAGAGTATACCAAATGTGCATCACAGCCTTTTAGAAATTGATGGGAAATTTGTGAAAACACCATTTTGCTTAGCTCAGAGCTGGCTGAACTGTGAGACTTCCCTCCAGCACACGCAAGAAATGAAGCAATCCTCCCCAAGTGAAGTGTGAGTCACCAATCAATCCCATCTCTGTTCAGCAACTTCCCACTGCAAGATGTTGTATTGTCTAGGCCCCTCTCCCTACGTGAAATATTACAAAATGGATATATCAGGAACTCTTTTTTCAATGCAGGCCTGGTTACAAAAGCCATGCAAAAGACTGTGTTGAATAAATACACAAAATGTTGCAAGAATGAATGAAACAGCATTTCCTACAACAGGTGCCATGGCAATTGTTACGTGACTTAGGAAGAATCAATCTGAGGATATGCGTAGATTTTTCTCTAAGTTTTGGAAACAAATCCCTATTTGTATCTCTAACACTTGTAGTTCTTAAAAAATAGATCCTGAAAAATACTTGAGCTGGCCATTTGAACCTCATTCTTGCAACACTGCACACCACCCCTCAGAAAACACTGCAATATTTGCTCTCACTTCAGGCAGTCCTGCAGAAAATGCCTCTCCCTCCATCCACTGACTCCCCAGTTGTCAGGTTTGTGTATTAGGGAGTTCCAAGCCATATTCAAAGCAGCTTACAACAGCTCCATAGTCTAAGTGACTCATCTGGCAGCTTAATGCTTCCTTTTTTATTCATTTTCCCCTCCACTTTCTGGAGATGCCTCATTTTCAAATGCCTCATTTTGACAACTTAAACAACAGAGCATTTGATTACATTTGAATATAATAATAGTGAACATACATGAAAATAGATTTACCATTTTAAGGATTGTTAAAACACCACTATGTACTATCCCAACAGGGATACACCAAACGCCAAATGAAATTAGGTGGCTTTTTACTGGAGAGGAAAAAAATCTCTAAAGGGACAGAGCAGAATAAGTCCTCGCAGGAATACCGTAAGTAATATGCATCACCACTTGTAGCTTAATAAGCATCCATAAATATGCAAAAGTTTTTGTCGTTTTCTTGAATTTTTCAATTTTGACATACTTTCCATATCACTATATCTTTTCTGAAAACTATTTTTAGAAGAACATACAGGAAGCCATTAACATGGACTGTAAAAAAAGTCTGCCACATGTCTGAAATTGCTTCCAATACAAAACTGTTTCACTTGGTCTGAATAAAGTTGCACAATCTTTCAAAGTTTTGACACAGCAGAACAGGAAATTCATGATGCAAAGTCTTTAGTTACTGGTTGAAAACAAACTTTGCAACTATTACTTATACAGTGGAGTTTACAGGGAGGGAGAAAAGAAAATAGGAGTGGGGTATATGATGTAGAATCAACCTTAAAATACAAAGGACAAGGCACCAAGCAAATTTATTTCCCATTACATTTCAGGAGTTGCATAACTCTGTGACACCGACAGGGGTATTTATCAGCTGTGTCAACAAGGTTCTTCTTTCACCAAAAGAAACCTGTCTATTCCTTTCCAATCAAAATTATTCTATAATTATATTAAAAAAAAANAAACAAGAAACAAACCAAAAACACACCTCAGCAAATATACTGGTTATTCTCACTACAAAATTGACCAGCCTGGTTTACTTTTATGAAATGCAAGCCTCTGCACACTTCAATCACAGCATTTTAAAAAATGCAAGTTATTTAAGCTCAACTCTACCAACAATTTTATAACAGGTTAAGAACAGCTGAGCATTTCATTAAAACTGTAGCATGTCCAAAGGAGCTTATTTTCTGTACTAAGAGAATGCAGCATGTGTCCCTCCTTATAATAAAACTGATACCCATAATGTAAATTTGCATACATTAATAAACACATATGCATGCCTGCTCCAACAAAACAGCAAAGCAGCTTTGTAATTATGCACCCATATTTCAAAATTCTGCTCACACTTTGACAGAAGCAAAGAACACAGAATAAAACCCAGAAGACTCAGGTGGAAGATGTTTCTTAATCAAAGGAGGCAGTAATCTGTGCACATTTAACTAAATGACTGCTAAAGTCTAAGAGTCAAACCGATTCAAATACTACCTTGTCTTTAAGGTTAAGCCAAGCATGCAGCTCTATTTATGTTTAATGATCCACCGCAGTCCAGCAGAGAAGCTACAAATTAAGGACGCATTGTATCTCACACATGCAGCCTGGTTTGTTCCTATTAGGTAAGCATTAAAAACTAAACTCTTCAAGCTCCCTGTATTCCTGCAGGTCTCATAGCAGGACTTTACTCTCCCAGGGAGCACATGCTGCAGTAATTCTATAGCAATAAAACGAGTCCTCCTGTGTTCATCTATTATTGCCAATAAAATATCGGTGCTTGTAAATCCACTATTAACAAGTCAGGAATACAAAAACAGCCCTCCCAACATTCTATCTATTTCTTGCCTATCAACAAATTCCGGATGAAAATACAACTGACTCAAATACAATTTATTCTTCAGGTCCAGAAAGAAAACTGGGACAAGAGCTGCCAAGCCCTTAGCTCTGCAAAGCCACCTATGGCGGGGGGGGCTTTCCAGGCTGCATCCCTCTACACTGCCCACCTACAAACTGCAAGAAATCACACTGAAATATGTCCGTAAGTCACTGAAATATGTCCATATGAGCTCATTCGGGGCGGGACGGGGGGGAGCCGGCAAGGACACATTATTATCTTCCCCTGCAAAAATGTTTCGGAGCCACCTGCCATGTGGTGCAATCCCCGACGCATTCCAAAGACGAGACTGCGGCTTCCCGGCAGCACCGCGCGTAAACCCGGGAGGAGAAGTGTCTCTTGCAGGAGGCCGGGGGGACAGGAACCCCCGGGGCACGGAGCAGCCCCGCTCGCCGCGGTGCCCGCCCCGCACGGACCCGGCAGGGCGGAGGGACGCGGCGGGGCAGCGACCTAACGCGACCTCCCCCGCACTGCCCCGTCCCCTCCCTGCGCTCACCACACCGAGCCGTAGGCCCCGGAGCCGACCGGGGAGAGGTTCTGGTAGCGCTCGGGCACCTCCCACACCGTCTTGTTCAGCTCCTGCCGGTAGAACTTGGGCCGCTCCTGAGACATCTCGGTTGCGGAGCCCGCCCCGCCCGGCCCGGCGGGAGGGGGAGGCTCTGCCTGCGGCTGCAGCAGCACCGCCGCCGCCACTACCTCCTCCTGCTCCTGCAGCGGCACCAGCGACTTCTTCCTTCCTTCCTTCCTTCCTCCTTTCGCTCCCTCCCCTCGGCGCTCCGGGCGGGGGCGGCCCCGCAGCAGCGACGCCCCCGCTGCCGCCGCCGGCCGCTCCCGCCCCGCCCCGCTGCCGCAGCCGCGGGGGGCGAGGCCGAGCGCGGCCGTGTCCCCGCCTTCCCCCGCCGCTCTCCCTCCCTCTCTCCCTCCGCGGGCAGCGCCGCGAGGGGCTGGATGGCCCCGAGAGGCGCGGCCGGCGGTCGTGCGGCCGAGCGGCGAGCGAGGCGGGGGCGCCGGCGCGCGGGGCGGGGACACGCTGCCGCCGCAGGTGGGACGGCGCAGGCGGCGCCGCAGCCACCGCCTCCGCCCCTCGCTGCGACCTCGTACACAGCGCAAACAGCGCCGGCCCCGCTGTCCCCGCTGTCCCGGCACGGCCCGGCACGGCCGCGCCCGCGGAGCTCCGCGCACCGATGCCCAAGATGGAGCCCGCGCGGCGGCGTCTCGCGAGAGCGGCGCGGAGGGCGGCGCGAACCGCCCGCGCCTCAGCGAGCGCCTCGCTTCTCCCCGAGGTGTTCCGAAAGTGAAAAAACAAAAGGAGAATCGATGAGAGTGCTTGCGGAAGCTTGCGAGTTGGTGTGAATTGTTTCTAAACTTCCCGAGGATGGTTTGTTCCCTTCCAGAGGTGTTGAGGAGAGCTAAGCTCGCGCTGCGCACATTTCCCAGTGTCCTGATCGTTCTCTGTGTTTTTTGAGAATAAGCTGCGTCTCAATACTGCTCAAAAGGCCTTGCAGTATCAAAGACACAGATGTGTTTGCTTTCCAGTACATGCATAAGTCTAAAGTTATTAAGTGCGGCAGATTAAGCTGATTTTGGGGTGGAACCCATGGTATCTTCACCAGGTAGTAAGTACAGACTATCACAGAAAATAATTCATGTTCAGGATTTGTGTTCAAGGCCACTTAGCTTTTAATCTCAAGCTTTAGAAAGGTGAATTGTTAGCAAGATACACACATTCTGAATGGGTCACGGAAGCTTGCTTTTAAAACATTTGGCTTCCCATATCAAACCCCTTCTCTACACAAAGTGGCACCCTCTCCTATGGTGGTGTAAGTCATTGAAGCCCACAGGAGTAAACACTTAAAAGTTACCACTGCTTGCACCTATAAAGTAACTACTTCTTGGTATGTTAGGATTCTTAACACCTTTAATTTGCAAACTTTTGCTGTTAGTTTTGCTTGTATGACCTTGCCTTGAAAAGGGTGATTGTGCTCAAGGATGTCAGACACACCTCGCTCTGCTGTGGTTTGGAGTGGCTGGGGATGTGTATGTGTACAAGACAGTAAATCTAATGCTGGAGTCCCTGCTGTGGTATCAGAACAAACAGGTCTCAGTGATTGTGCTTTTGTTTCTTTGTTTTAGTTTGGTTTGACTATGAATATTGCAGTTTTCTTTCTGAATCTCTTTTTGGATCTAGTCTGGACTCTCAGTGGTTATGGCTTTTTCTGTTCTGCTAAGTCCTCCTATGAAAGTAAACACAGAATCTCTTATTCATCATTTATCTGGGCTTTGTTTCAGTGTGTACTGAAACTTAAACTGTTCTCTTGAGACGGGGACAAGGCTTGAGACTCAAGACTGAGCCACTGGGTGAGGTTCTCCAAGGTGTGGTGAGCTAATCTATCAGCCTGCTGCTGCCAAAAGGGACAGGACCACACAGGGAAAGGAAAGCAGGGGAGCCAGGCTTCTCTTTCTGGATAACCAGCTCTTTCATCAGCTTAGCCACGTGTGGTACTGAAGCCTGAAACTACGGGTCTTGTCCAGCTTACACTGCTGTAAAGGAATTTTCTGGTGATAAATGCAGGCAAACAGAGCTGTAGTTTGAGTTGGTGTTGTTTTCTCAGTAACCATGAAGACTTGTCAACAAGGTTACCTTCTGTAATAGTGAGATCATTTACATTGTGCAAAAGCCTTCTGTTCTGTCATTTAATATCTTTAAAAATCTAAGATGGAGATTGGATGAAATTCTGGAGTCAGAGAAACAAAATCACTTGATGGCAAGAGTTGAATCGTGTATAACTGTGACATGTGATGTAGAGTTAAGAGTCTGTCCACCCAAAATTACCTGATGTAATACAATAAGTTTTGCCCAGAATTCAAAGGCAGAATTTTGCTAATATTATTGGAAACTTTATCATTGCATTGTTTAATAAGAAAATATATTTTATTTCTTCCTCCAGCTCATTGTTTAAGAAAAATGTCTGCCTTGCTTCCTCATGATTTTTCCCTGTTTCTTTGCCACTTCCCTGTTTCATGTGTTTTTTCTGTTCTCCATTTTGTATGCACTTGTCAGCAGAGCCACCCTGACAGTGAAATTATGGAGGGGGACACAGCTCTGTAATGTTAATGTGAGTCCCCACGGTCACTGTTCACAGTTCAGGGATGTCAAAAGCCTTACTTATATTTGGNTTTCTTTTCCTTCCAGTGTCTTAGATGAGGATCTCTCTTTATCTCTGCCCCAAGCTTTATGCTATAACAGTCTTGAATGGCATATCAGAGTCTATTTATGAGTACTGGAACAATGTCTCTGACAATATGTATTAGTGTTCCGGCACTTTCCTCTAGAAGAAATTTTTATGTGCCTCAGACAATAGACAATGTCTGGAGATTTGGACAGATACTAAAGAAGAAAAGTATTTAGTCAGTCTTCTCAGAAACCACTCCAGTGCTGGAAGCAGGAGTTGACAGAAGGCAGAAATACCGAGAGAGTCAACTACAAACTAGAAAGGAGCTCTAAGGCTGATTTTACAAAAGAGAGAGAATACTGTACTTCCTCTGGATGGACTGACCTCTTCAACTAAACAAATGCAAAAGAAACATAGGCCCAAGAAATCATGGGTTTGATACTCAAGATATCAAACTCTGAAAAGAGTATGAAATTATTTCACAGATTATACCTGCATGATGCCTGCCTTTACAGTAAAACATGAAAAAAAAAAAAAAAAAAAAAAAAAAAAAAAAAAAAAAAAAAAAAAAAAAAAAAAAAAAAAAAAATCACCAACATGCCAGGAATTAAAAGGGGGAAGAAGGAGCACTGGGCGGTGGGGTTAGTCAGAGTTTAGCTACTGGAAATTTTGATTCAAACACATACATGGGAAATATATCATGTAGGTCAAGTCCTGATTTAACCCACTCACTAAATAATTTAATTCAGGAAACATTTGTCTCATTTTGGGGAGGTGGGATAGGTTTGTTAATTTTTGCTGCCCAGATGCAGTGTTTATGTGGTTTTCTTCTAGGTCAGAACAGGAGGAATCAAAATACCATCCCCTCTTTTTTCTGCAGTGTTAATTAGGTCAAGCAACTGATGTATCCAGTGCTCTGTGCTTCTCCAGCTATCAGGTGAACAGCACACAGAGCATTTGTGATTCATCTGAGTGGCATGCAAGGGCACAGAGGTGCCTGCCTGGGATGGATGGTGTGTGCCAGCTCTGGGATAACACCTGTGCCTGCAGAGAGCAAACACAGCAAACCTTGGTGGGCACAGGAGGCCACACAAGAGCACTGCAGAGACACAGGTGGCTGCTTTGGACAGGCAGAAAGTTGGGTGAGTTAGAATCTACTGCAGAACAGCTTGCTGAAGTCAGGCTGAACAGCAGAAGGTAGAATATTTGGCTTGACATTTAAGCCTTCACGTTAAATTATCCTGCCAGTAACTTAAATATTGTCATGGAGTTGAGGAAATGCGGCTGGGTAGATCCCCTTTTGAATTCTCCATTTTTTCACAAATGTAATGGATTGATAATCCAGTTTGTTGCTTTGAGTCCTGTGTTCCTGTTTGGGCAAAGACATCTTTGTGTGCAAGCTGGAGAGGCATCCTGTTGAGTTTTGCAGGAGGGAATGACTTTGTTGTTGTTGTTTTTATTTCTCTGATAGAGTGAGAATCCTGCCAGCGGAGGGCAAAAGCTCCAAGTTTTTTATTTCCAGAGGTTACTGCACCAGCTGTCTTTGGGATGATGGGGGAAGTGAAAAACAGAGATAGCTTGACTTCCTGAAGAACTGGAGCTTATGCCTTTTCTGTCAGTATTCTGCAATAATTTTTAAGCTTGGTGGCTGTCTCAGCCAAGTTTGAATTGGGCAGGTGGCTGGAAATTCCAGGAAAAGCAATTGTTTTGAGTAAAATATTCCAGTAGTTGTCCCACCTAGGGAAAGAATCCAGTCTTGGGTAATCATCCTGTGCTGGGGTCCTACACCTGAACGAGGCAAGAAGGAGAAGAAAACCCTCCCCAAATCTGGAGGAAAGCAGGGTTCCTGACTTCTGCTGCTCATGAAACCACTTGTTTAACTCCCTCACCTTGGCATTGCACAAAATAGTCTAATGCAAGGATATTGACCTTTCAAACTCTTCCCCCATAGAAAAAGCTTCAAAGAATGAAGGTGACACTAAATATTCACCAGTCTCCCTTTAATGCAGGAGGGTGGGGAGCACCCTCACAGAGGTGACTGTTTCCACAGGAGCCCCCTTTGAGGTGAGGCTGCCTGGGAATGCAGCAGGGACCCACAGCAGCTCAGGGGTGTCACCTCCAGCAGTCCCTGTGAGCCCAGTTCCTCGAGGGCTGGAGGTTTGGGCTGTCCTGTGCTCCCATGCCAGCAGGGCCCTCTCGCTGCTCAGGTGGTGTCACCTTGTTATGGGAACTGCATTTGACCACCTTGACACTCTGGCCACCCTTGGCTAAGAGTTATATCCAGATATGAACTTGGATTTTCAAGAAGACTGTGTAGAGTCTCTTAACTGCAGAGAAAACTGAATCCTGGATCTTCTTGGACTGAAAGACAGGAAAAACTGAAGGCCCAAATGGTATTGAGTAATTCTCAAACCACATATGCTTCCCTACATTGTTCTGGACAGTGGCTTCATGCCAAGCTTCTCTCAGCTCTGTTCAAAATGAGTAATGTAAAACCCATGAAAGGCATAGCCCTAATTTTCAGATTCTATTGGCTCTCCTATGACAGCTTTGATTTAAGATGAAATGGATTCCTAGCTATTGGCACCATGAAAGGTCTCCACTGAAAACTTAAAAGGTTTTTTTTTTTTCCTCTTGTTCAGCAAAGTTCCAAATCTTCCCTTCCTATTGCAATGACTGCAGAGTTTAGCACCAGTGGACAAATCAGACATCAGAATGTCAGCATGCAAGTCATGGGTATTCATGCTGCAAAACAAATATCCTGCTGAGAGGAAGTCCAGTCAATCCTGATCTTTTTCCCCATAATGTTGCTCCCACATACACACACAAGGCTTCTGTGTTCAGCCAAGCACAAATCCCTGGACATGGGCTGTGAAGTGACAAAGCACCTGCTTTATAGCCAAATATTCCACCTATACCTCTAAACATCCACAGAAGTCAGAGTTTAAAGGCCTATTTTTGTTAGCAGCCTGAAGTTCTTACCTGACCTAGTTGCAACAAGATCAGTTGTTTTGCATGCAGCAATGTTCTAATGTTCTTCCCATCTGGTGGGATGACACGATGCTTTCCTGGCAGGGCTTGCTGCAGAAACCCAGGCTGCTCTCCCACTGCACTGAACGAGAAGAAACAGATCCTCAGACATGCAGATGATCATGGCCACCTCCTGAAATTCCAAACGGTGCAGGATGTGTCCCAGATGCAACCTGTCACCACCTCGAACTTGGGCTGCCCTGACAGTCCCAAGGGAACCCTGCAAACTGACATCAGGAACCTCGGCTGGGGAGTTTTCTTTCCCAGGGAAAAGTGACATTGTTTGTGCTCAGGGGCCTGTGGCTCTGAGTGGGCTGCAAAAATCTGAAGGGCGAAGGATGTGTCCCAGACACAACCTGCCACCACCTCAGACATGTGCTGTTCTGAGAGTCCCATGCAAACCCTACAAACTGACATCAGGAACCTGGACTGATGAGTTTTCCTTCACAGGGAAAAGGGCTGGTCTTTCTGCCCAGGGGCATATGGCCCAGAGGGGGTGGCTGACTGCAAAAAAATCCGAAAATCGAAGGATGTGTCCCAGACCCCAGCTGCCCCTACATCAAACTGGTGCTGCCCTGACAGTGCCAGCGCACCCTACAAACCGACACCAGGAACGGGCTGGCGAGTTTTCCTCCCAGGGAAAAGGGCCGCTGTTCGTGTTCCGGGGGGCGGGCGCGGGCGGCCAGCGCACGCCCCGAGCGGCCCCGGCGGCGGGTGCCAAACGGAGCCCGCGCCGCGCCCCGCGGCACTACCGGCAGCACCGCCCGCCCCGCCCCGAGCGTGCGCCGCCGCCGCAGCCGCCGCCGCAGCCGCCGCCGCAGCCGCGCAGGGCGGGCGGGGCAGGGGCGGCTCCGCGCCGGGGGCGGCTCCGCACCGGGGGCGGCCGAGCCGCGCGTGCCCAGCCCGGCGGGCGCAGCGCAGGCGCCCGGGGCCGCCGGGCGGTGGCGGCCATGGAGCGGAAAGGTGAGCGCGGCGCGGCCTCCGCCGGCCCGCGGGGCCCCCGCGGGGCCCGCCGCCCTTCACGCCTCTCTCTCCTTCTCTCCCTCAGTGCTGGCGCTGCAGGCCCGGAAGAAGCGGACCAAAGCCAAGAAGGACAAGGCCCAGAGGAAGTGAGTGCGGCCGCGGCTCCTTCGGGCGCTGTCTCCCGCCGCCTCTTTGTTCCCCGGGCCGCCCCCGCGGGGACGGGGCTGCCGGGCCCGGGGGCCGCTCGGGGCGGGGGAGCGCGGATCCCCGGCGCCGGGCCGGTTTCTGGCGGGTTGGGCGGGCACGGGGCGGCCGTTTCGCCGCCGGCTCCGGCCGCGGCTGCGCGGGCTGCGCGGGGAGCGGCAGGCTCTGCCTCCGCTGTCTCTCCCCGGAACCCGGCCCCGGGGTCGCGGTGGTGCTCAGGGACGCAGCTGCGGGTGCTGGTCTGCCCTCGGCTCGGGCTGTGTCCTGGAGGGAGATGGCAGCGTCCCCTCTCTGCAGCCCCCGGGGCGCTTCAGCAGCTGCCGGCTTGAGGAACCAGCTTCTCTCCACTCCCTCCCCACTCTTGATTCTCTTTCCCCCTGAGATTTTTTTTTTTTTTCTTGCCGAAAGAATGCCGTGATGTGCTGTTTACTTCGTTCTCTAACTTTGATGCTCTTGTGTGGCTTCTGTCGTACCGCAGGAATGTCACGAGTCTTTATGTGTGGGGAACTTTTGGAGGCAAATGTAGAAATTAGAAGAACTCGAGTAAATACTAAACAATGGCTTTCAGCAGGCTGCACTAAGTGCTATGTTCAGTGCTGCTCATGGATTCCTTTCTACAGAAAGGTGATGTCAGTCCTAGAGCTGGTTCTGTATACTCCATAAAATGCTGCTTATTTCTGTAAAATCTCCCGTGACTCAGGATGTTTCTTTCTTGAAGGTGCCTAGGACCAAAGATAGTAAGGCTAAGGCTTTGGGAGTGGGAGTTGGAGGGTTTTTTCTTTAGGCCTAGAGTAATGCTTTCTCAGCCACTTCCTCAGACACATCACAGGGGTTTAAAATATTTTTTTCTTGTTGCCTTCAGCCAAGAGTCAGTGGTTTTGAGATGGGGCTTTTGAAGAGTGAGGAGCCTTAACCAAAGTGTTTGGGAGACGTGCATTATGGCTCCATCCTTTTCCATATGAGTCCCTGGTATACCTTGAAGGTAGCATTAGGACAATTTGTGAACTGCTCTCCTCCTTCTCTAATTTCTGTATGAATAATCCATTGTCTAATTCTATACATGTTATTTTTTTTTTCTTTCTCTAGCTGCAGACCAGCAATACTGATTCTGCCAACAGAGTCCACAGTGCAGCTGGGAAGGCTAATATCTGTGTAGATTCTGAGGTTGCTGAATGATAAATGTTAGGGTTTTTTTATAAGTCTTTTTTAACCACATATTCAGGACAGGTTGAATGCACTGCCAGTTAGCTCTTGATTTTGCCACTAACCTTGATTTGAGTGCAGAGTAATGTTATTTCTCAAATGCTGTGTTTATATTCTTACGCTTTATGCTTCAACTCTTTTCCCTGGTACCATAAATTTATTAGATTGTATCTCAGAAATGAAAGAAACTTGCATGTGCTTTATGCTGTGTAATTAAATGAACTCAGTGTCAGTCTCTAAGTTTAGGTACAGTTCCACAACATTTATTCTATTTAAATAAAAAGCTGCTCTAGTTAAATCTTCTAAAATAGGCTTAACTGGGTTGTTTCATGACTTTTCATAAAATCTATACTTGAAACCACATGCAATGTGCTTTTAATATCTGATGTTCCATGATAGTTTAGATCAAACATGCAATTTTTTTCTGTAATACATTTTTTCTTTACATTTGCAGTAGAAAGCATGAAACAATGAATTTAAAAAGTAGAGTTTAGTGTTCTGAATTATTATATAAAAGTGCAGAGAATGTTCTGAAGGAAGTAAAAACAATTCAAAATATCTTTCATTTTAAAAATGAGCTACAGCTGCTTTTAAACCTAATATCATTAAAAGCATAAAAACAAATAACAAAAAACCCCCAAACATTTGGAAAGGTTAAAAGAAATTGGAAAATTACTTATTTTTTCATCATCCAGTAGTTAATATTGCTGTTTGCTTGGTTTAGACGAGACTAGTCTAAACTGATGATTTACAGAAACACCTTGTAAATAATAATTATGATTCCGTGTCTAAGCTTTTTTAATAGGAAATGAATATATGTTTTTGAAATGAATATATATTTTTATAGGAACGTCAATCACGTTCTTATTTTCTGCCAAATCAGGATGATCCTATTTCTTTCACTCCTTCCTGTCTTAAAAGTTTCATTTTATATCAATGAAGTAGAGCGTGCATTTCTCCTAACACTCTCCTGTAGAAAGAGAGCAGGCAGAGGTTCTTGGAATTCTGAAGGTGAGATATCTGTAATTTCCATTGCCCTTGTAATTTTTTTCATTCAAATACAGAAGTGATTATCAAACCATGACAGGACACAACTGAAATTTACTGGTTTCCATAGAAATCCCTTGGTTTGTGATAGCTGGACTATCAGCCAGTTCTACAAACAGCTTGTTAAGTGCTTGTGTGGGGGAGTGGGGATGGGAAGAAAGAAACTTGATTGCCTGTTATTTGTGTTTTAATACCTTTCTTATATGAAAGCCAGTACTTATCTTCAAACTGAGCTCCCACAGATCTGCTAATCAAAAGTGTGTCTTGGTGCCTCTGAGTAGTTGTATTTAAAAACTAAATGTTTGATCATCTCCAGTCTTCTAAATTCTTGGCAGTGGTGTTCCTGTAGCTCTGGGATGAGTGCTCTATAGCAGCAACTATTGTGGATTTGCCTTACTGGCAGAAAACACCAGTTATTTATTCACAAAAATAGGAATGCAACAGTGAGCGAGTTGCAATAATCACAAAATAACATGGATTGTACACTCATAAGTCCCCCACCATTCTCCCCAAAATAGTTGGGATTGCTTGAGCAGAAAGGCTTGCTGCATACGAGCAGGAAAACACTTGGATCATTTCAGACCTGGATTCGTGCTGGAAGTTGTGTGTACTCGGTTACCATATTCATTGAGCATGAGGTTTGCCAGCAGATCTTCGTGTGAGCACTCATTCTCACTAGATGTGCCTTAACTTGAAATTACAGACACACTAAGAAATAGTAATGAGATGCAGCCTGCAAGCGTTCTTCCTTAAAGAGACATTGTCTCCATGCACAGATGTGGAAATGGGAGAGGGATTTTAAATCCTGGCTTTTCACGGTGCCGTATGGAGCTTCTTCTCAAATGAAAACACGGAATCCTTAAGTGAGATCCTGCTGTATTGGGTGTGCAGCCCGGCAAATCATTGGCTGGGTGGTTAAGGTGGAAAGAAGAGTCGTGGAGTGTTTGCAGTGCCTTTATCTGGTGCCTGCTGGGAGCAGATAAAGCTCCAGTGGGAGCTGGGTTCGTCATCCCTCCTGCGTTCACTGAACTGCGTTCTGCTTGGGGGCGTTTCGTGTGTGTAATTTGAGCGCACCAATAGAGGTGACACTGCTTATAAAGACTGGGTTGGAGGCTACTTAAAATTAGGAAAGCAGTTCCCTTCAATTTCCTGCACTTGGGTGTCATTTTTGCAAATTCAAGGGAGTGGCAGACACGGGAATAAGGAGAGTATATTTTTTTGTTAGTATGTATTTAAGGATGATGGGTGTGACAAAAGTGATTTGCTTTAAATGTAACTTGCCTTCCTTGCTTGAGGGTGGAAGGAGTCTGTATCTATTCAAGGCAAATAGTTAGGTAGCATGGACAGTATTTCTGCTGTTTTAGGGACAAGGAAGAATCTTTTCTGTCCATAACAAAATTTTGAAGTCACTCTTAATGCTCTTGAATAGGAAAACCAAACATCTCCTTTCAAGTTTTTTTGTTTTTTTTTTTTTTTTTTTTTTTTTAATGTAAGTTATTGGAGCAAAGAAGACATTCAGAGGTTGATGGTGAAGTTGAATGTGGAGACTTGGTTGTGTGTCTGGTAATTTATAGAGGGTACCCTTCCTTCTCTGCAAACCTGTAAGAACTCACATTGTGTGGCTGAGATTTCTTAATCAGTTTTTGCCTTGTATGTGGACCAGATAAGTGATTCCACTGAAAACTGGCAAGAGAATTCCACAGTGTTTTTCCAAATTGCTTTAACACCTTCTGGAAGGAGCAAGTGAGTGACTCAAATCTTAGCTCCTGCAAATAACTTCACCATCCCTGCTGTGCATTGCAGGGGTTGGGTGGTATCTTCAGTGAACATGGAGCAAAATCTTGTCTACAGTGGAAAATTTTGAATGTTTTTAGTTCCTTTTCTAATATGAAGAGGTTTGGTAATGCTAAACCATTAAAAGCATATTCAGACTTCTGTGAGCTTTTAAGGTGAAAATATTTTAGACATAGAACTGGATGAAGACAGTTCTTTAAACCTCCTGCTTGCAGGGGCAGCATCATTGTGTTTTTCACTAATAAAGTGCTCCCTAGGAGAGAAATCTCTAAATTGTTACTTGCTATGTCACATTGTTGGTGACTTGTTTCCCCTGTCACTTACATAAACCAGCAGGATAAACAGGCACAGGAAATGACTGGGAATTGTACATTGTTGGAAGATGATGTTAAGTACCCGCTGCTGTGAAAAATACTCAGTCCAGCCTTTTAAAGAAGATTTGACTCCTTCTGCTTGTTTTGTCATTTTAAACATAAAGGATAAGTTTTTCTTGTAACT